TAATAATAATAATAATAATAATAATAATAATAATAATAATAATAATAATAATAATAATAATAATAATAATAATAATAATAATAATAATAATAATAATAATAATAATAATAATAATAATAATAATAATAATAATAATAATAATAATAATAATAATAATAATAATAATAATAATAATAATAATAATAATAATAATAATAATAATAATAATAATAATAATATTCTGGCCGAGGTGTGGTGCCTCGGCCGGGATCGACCGTGGGCACACGCCTCGGCCAGCGTTGGCCGAGGTCTGCGGCCAATACGGCTGAGGCGCCGCCTCAGCCCAAGGTCGGCCGAGGGCCGCTCGAAAAATAAATAAATAATAAATAATATATATATATATATATAATAAAAAATAAATAAATAGATAAATAATAAAGAAACGCAGGAACTTACAGAGTGATGACAGAAGCTGATGGAGAGGTGCTCAAACTACTCTGGGGACAGGGTTTATATTGGAGAGAGGCCTGTTATGAAAAAGTAATGTATATGTTTTAGAAGCAGGAAAAGATTTGGAAACCTAATCATGGGGATTTGGAAGATAAAATCACATATCAGTGATTTGAAAAATAAAATCACATACCCACGATCAACCGGGATTCTGTACAATATCAAGCAAATTTAGTCTTACTCCCAAGCAAACTCAAGCACATCCGTTGACTCGGAAGTAGGGGACTGGTGACAGGATAATGGTACTGGTACCCTACCCGGATCATCAACAGGCACTCGACCCGGCACCACGTGGAAACCCAACGTATGGAATTCCAACGGGCAGCACACCAACAGGTGGTGACTTTACTGCCACTTATTGCTACCATTGAAGCCAACATTTATGAGAGCGAATTAAAGGCCTCAGCTCCTCATTTATGTCCCACCATGTTACCGTTAGGGCTTAGTATAAGTAGAAGCTCCCCTCAACTTGAAGGGACACGTTCAATATTCTGTACTCAAACACTTGCAATACAACAATTCTGCTATTAGGGATGGCAATGGGTCGGGTGTGGGTCGGGGAGGGCTACATCCATCACCCGACCCACCTTATATTTTCTCCACCCACCCCCACCTCCAACCCGCATCGGGTGGACTTTTTCAGAACCCACCCCCACCCCCATCGGGTGCCGGGTGCCCACTACGGGTACCCACCACTTATCATCTTATTATGTTTTTCAAAAAATAATATTTAAATTATTTACACATAATAAAAAAATAAAATCCATTAGTGATACTAAAACATAAATAATGGAAATATTTAAATATAATAACTAAATTGTTAATTTTTAAAAATAAACTTAGTAGTTTTGATATAAAAAATAGTAAAAAGATACACAGAGTTATATAAACTATTATAAATAACTACATACTAGTATTTATTTTACTATTATATATATATACACACAAGTACATTATAGAGGACTGTGAAGACAGATGTAGTGTGTGCCATTAGCCGGTATGTCGTGTGCATGGCCGAATGTATTCGTGTGCCATAGTTTGTATGTCGCGTGCTAGATTTGTTAATTTATAAAGCATGGGTTCGAAACCTGATGTTTACATTTATTCTTGTATACCATTATGTGTTAAGTTGTGTGCCTGGTATTAATTTGTTGTGTGCCCATTATTTGTCCTCACAGTCCTCTATATATTGTTGTCCTCGTTTGAACTCAACCCTATATATATATATATATATATATATATATATATATATATATATATATATATATATATATATATATATATATATATATATATATATATATATATATATATATATATATGTATGTATATATATATATATATAATTTAAATTAAAACTTAAATTTTTAATTTTTTAAATTAAAAATTACACTAATTTAGTTTTTTTTTTTTCTTGGTCAAATGCTTAGTAGGATAATAATAATAATAATAATAAACTAAAAAATAAAAAATAAACATGGCATCCTAATCATCACAAATTTGTTGGTGATCAATTTGGAGCTTATTCGAGTTCGATGACTTAATTGCTATCCCCCAAATAGTTCAGTGGCCTATTTGTACCTTTTTTCCAAAGTTTTTTTTTTTGTTTGTTTTGCTTTCTTTGCCCCGCGGGTGTATAATATGTACTCCGTATATGTTTTGTTTTCTTAATGCTCCACTGAGTACATATCTAAAAACATAATAAATGTGAATAAAAGTTATACCCCTGATTTATGTTCGTTTTTTCTGTTAAGTTTTTTTTTTGTACATTATGCTATAAAGGTTGTACATTAAAATATTTTGGACAAACATACCCCTACCGTTATAACTTCCGTTATCTTTTCCACTATTGTTACCATGCACATGCATCCACCATATATTTTCTTATCTTCTTCATTAATAATAATATATACACATTATATATTTGAGTTATATGTTAATTATTACATAAAATATAAATATCAAATTTATAAAAATGATTTACATTATTATTATTTAAAATAATATAAATATCTAAAATCTAAATAAATTTAAAATTTTAATATAATGTATTAATATTAGGCACCTATTTTTTACGCAACGCGCATAAAAAATACTAGTATAATATATAAACGTATATGGTCCATGATTTGGGCAGTGTGTACACATATATAATTAATGCATTAATTTGCACGTAGTATTTTTGGATGCTACTGGTTCTATTACAATGCAGTATCTGTTCATATACTTTCTCAACCTACTAAAACACAAAAAACCATGATTTGGGCAGTATGTACACATATTGGAAGTCCAACCTGAGTACCATTAGACCACATAGTCTTAGTGATTTACACGTAGTTTAGTGTGTGTGTGTATATATATATATATATATATATATATATATATATATATATATATATATATATATATATATATATATATACATACACACACACACACACACTAGTATTTCACTCGTGCGATGTACGGTCCAAAAATTAAATAACATTATTGTTTATAAATTATAAAAATAAATTGTAATTATATAGTGTATCAATTTGAGTATAAAAGCTTAGTAAAGAAATAAACGACAGTTAGTATATAAATTTTAAAAATATAAATTGTTAAACACTTCATGACAAAACATTTACAATAGAATACAACATTCTTCAAAATCACTACATACCAAAATTTTAAGTCCTTATGGACTACTAACCCTAGACACAACTATAATCAAACTCTTCAATATTTAAAAATAAATTTAGAACACTAAATATTTATTTTAAAAAAATATGTAACACACACACACACCCCATATATATATATATATATATATATATATATATATATATATATATATATATATATATATATATATATATATATATATATATATATTATTCTTTATAATTAATTATAATGGACCATTATGTCAATATAATATTAAAAAAAAAAACAAATAAAATACAGGCATAACATTTTAAATAGAAATAAAATAAGAAAAATAGTTCCATAAATACATAAAATTAAAAAATAGCTCATTACAATATGTTTCGCCCAAAACATTTTCAAACCAACTTACATATTACAATTCAATCCAACCCAAAATACATAATAAAATATATTCTAATTTTATTAACCATAGCCCAATACAAAATGTAAATATATTTGTTTTTTTTTTTCAAAAGGAAGCCGATCTGCTGCCCAGCCCAATACAATGAAAGCCCATTTACAAAAAGCAAACTCAAACCCTAATTGTAAGAAATCCGACATTTTCATAAACCTGAATACATTGATAACATCGTTGAAAGAAAACATGAACAAAAAAATAAAACCAAATAATTATAAATGATTTTAAATAATTAATTGTTTTTGAAGTAGCCAAAACAGTTGCTTGATATATGATTAAAATTTAAGTAGTAGTGTTTATCTAATGTGAATTTGGAATTATGAATTTATTTTATGTTAATGTTATTATTTGCAGAATGTTTAATATTACTACTTGTGTTTTTTTCAAGTCTAAACGGTTGATAGAGGTTCAAGTTATAAAGACTGTGATACCAATTTCTAACTATTTTTTAATGTTAAATTTGGTTAATGTCATTACTTGAAAGTTCATATGATACTGATACAAATTTCTAGCATTTTTTTCAGAAGTGAAGTCAATTTTTTTTTTTAAATATAGAATGGTACGGAAAAATGTGACAAATTTGAAATTTTATAAGGCAATTTATTCTATATGCCACATATATATGAAATATGATTTCTATGTTAAGAGTTGTGCTTATGTAATTGTATTTGAAACTTTATGTATACTTTGTGTTTTCAAACCTGAATTTGTAGTGAAAGAAGATGAGATATAATAATGTAGGTAAGTAAGTCCTAATACATTTCTTATAATATTTGAAACTTAATCTATTTCTTTAACATTTTATTTTAAAATGTTTTGTGCGATTTTTGTTAACCGTAGATCTGAGAATTCCAATTCTTACAACTTGTGAGGAAAGAAGATGTTGCCAAAAAGTTAATTAGCTACTCCGAAGCATGAACCTGATGTACGAAGAACTGATGCTGCTGGTTATCAAGAGATAAACATATTTGGCAACATCACCACTACAACAAATTTTTTTTTTTTACATTGTGCAATACAATCTCATAGAAAACAAAAAGAATACTTGACATAGATGATGTCTTCCTCTTGCCTCCTATTGTTGTACTTCCTTTCAATTTCTTCATGAATGTTAAATATAACTTATAAATTTGAAATGTGTTTTGTGAACTCATTTTTGTTATATGATTTGTTAGAGTTCAACTTTGCAATCTACACTTCCATCTTATGTATAAGAGATTGATACTAAAACTGGGGTTCATATATATAAGACATACATCTGTATTTTAATGCATGTGATTGTGTAAATATAATGATTTACTTTTGCTTCTAAATCTGACAATAAACTGAATATACCATGTCTGTAATCCCATATATAATTTTTTTGCTATGATGATCATACTTTATTCTTGATTATTTTAGGTGTCAATGGCATAGACACAACCCTTGGTAATGCAAGATTACATGTTGCTTCATGTGCTGTTGAATCCCTTCCAAAAAGTGTTTCTAACAGTGTGTCCATACTAAGCTTTGCCTCTCCCATTCCTCCCATCGAAGAAGTGTTTCTATACTGCATAAATATTAAAAATGAAAAATGAAGGAGGTTCATACCATAAATGTAAAAAATGGAGGAAGTGCATATTGCCACCAGCCTCTTGTTTTCTGCCCTTTATCTCTCTTTGTGCTCTTCTCTTTGTGCTTCAGAGTTCAGACCTTCAGGGTGGGATTTCAACACAAAACATGTATTATTTATAGGCTATTTTTTTTACCAAAATTCAAATTCAAAAAGATGTACTTATTATTTTTAGCATTATTTCACATAACTTGTAAAACTAAACTATCTGTCCTTCAATCATTTCATCAATCAAAAAGCAATTAATAGCATTGGAAAATGGAATACCAAAAACAACTAATTTCAAGTCCCAAGGTAGGCATTAAATATGTAAAATCAGATTTCTAGGGTGGTGCACACAAACGGGAAAACATTTTCAAGCCAAAACGTTGTCGGTTCCCATGGGCAGGAAAACATATATATATATATATATATATATATATATATATATATATATATATATATATATATATATATATATATATATATATATATATATATATATATTAAAAGTAATTGTTTTTTTTGAATTTTTAAACACAAAATAATTAATATTATTTGTAAACTTTAATTATTTTTTTCAACTTTGAATTAATATTAATTTTTGTTAGACTTTAAAGTTGGATTGTAAATTTGCAATGCTAATATTGTAAACTTCATAATAAATTATTAAAAAAAAAAAACCCGCAGGCCAGCCCATGGTCCACAGTGGAGTGGCCAGCCCGCTTTGACAGTACTAAGTTTACTCCACAATGAGCTTGGGACAGAAATAAGGCAATAAAGATTAATCGGAAACTTGGATTAAACTTCAGTGAGAGCAATATAATGCTGCAGCCAAAGAGAGGGGATGATCGCTTTGGATCTCCCATCCACACATTATTATTTGAAACTTGGTAAAAAAAATAGAGAATATGATACTTTCACTACTTTTCATGCTTGGATTTATCAATTGCCAAGCAAACATCGAGGATGTGACTGAAATGGCGATGGGATTCATAGAAAGGAGTATTTTCTTCTTTCAAAACTTCAAATGCAATTTCACAGTCTTCAAGACCTGTTACCGCGGCCGAGAGTTTGAAGTTTATTTCATCATTAGCGTCCCCTTTCTTGACCAAATCCATGCTCTCCTTCAATCTGCACACCACATTAATATTATTTAACTAACATACAAATCAAATATCTTTATGCATGATACTCTTTATATTTTTTTCCTTCCAACTCAACCCTCATGACTTGACAACATCTAATTAATGAGTAACTGAAGTGGTTTACCAATTCATGGATAGGTAAGATTTTCCCAATTAATATAGCACAACAATTACCGTACTCATACTATTGCTCAGTACACCATCTAGGGTTCTGAGTCACGACGCAAATTATGACTAACGGTCTACCATTAAGAGGCAGCACAACAAGAACATCGATCAACTATGACTGGAGATCAACACGGTTATGCTTCTGCTCTTATACGAAGTCAGATCTCTCTACTGTTCAGTATAGTTAGATTGTTCTATATCTAACATTTGGTATCAGAGTCATTATAATCTCTGCCTGGTTGATTGTTTTGCCTAACCAATGAATGAAAGTCACATCAAGAGGTAAAATAATAGAGGAGAGCCAGCACGAGTTTAGTAAATAGGAAGAAGAGAAATTTCAAAACTTAGCCCCGGCACTATGCATATCGATAGTATTGTACCACCTAATGTGGACAGATTCCATGTGCATATCCATATTTGGCCCTATCTTTTAAGTCACTGATTTATCTTATCGGTGAGGATTCAACCTTCTTCAGAAGAAAATAATGGAGGAGAAATAAAACATTTGTCCTGTATTAATTAATTAATTTACCTGGCATGGATGTCATCGTAGGTCTCACCGCACTTGGATTTTCCCAAAGGCACCGTTTTACTTTTAAGGATGATTGAATCCGAGTATTTCATCGCCTCCATTAACCCCATAGTCATTGCCTGGTTCCAATTTGTGGCAGTCTTCGTCACATTCTCGCACATCGCTTCGTCAGCGGCCGTGGCGCAGTAGCTGTTGCCGCCGGCACCGGCAGCAGCCTCGGCGGCATTCACAAGTGCCGACAAGCTGAGATACACTACCGACAATGCCACAATGCATCCCTTCAAACTCACCATTTTCAAATTCTCCGATCTGTATGTTCCTCAAAAAGTAAGATTTAATTGATTTATTTATGTAGATGTGTTTTACATTAATCGGAAATGAAGGATGTTGGAGGCGCGGTTATATATTTATACGCTTGGGAATCGTTATACAAAATAGAAATTTAAGGATGCCCTCATCATTCATGCATGCTATGTGGTTCACCCGGTGAAACTTTGACATTTTCAATGTGAACCTCTAATGAAATTATTTACCCACAAAACATAAGTTGTGGTTAATAAATATATCTTATAATAACAAAAAAATTCCTATAATATATATTTGTATTTTATTACCGTTAATTAATACATATCTAACCTCGGATGTGTAAACTTAATTTATGGTTAATTGGTCACCATAAGTATATAAGAGCATTCACAATAGCAGCAAAACTTGCTAGGGGTTTTTGGACCCAATTTTTTACATGTTTTTTCTCCTGCAAATGTAAAATTTGTGTGAGACCCATTAAATAGGAATAAAAGTATAAGAGGCTACATCAGGTGCAGGTTGGGAACACTACTGCACGCGCTAGCTAAGCGCTTAAATTTTCCTTGTATTTATTTATTATTATTTTTTTGTTTGAATTTTTTCCTCTTCTCTCTTCCCTCTCTTTCTTAGTTTTCATTAAAAAAATCATTAAATTAAAAATATGCAAATCTTATTGGAGATGCCTTAACAACTTGAGAATTGTTATGGGATATGACCATTAATTCATTAATATATGTTTAAGTGTAAATTATACAACACCAAGTACATTTTTATCATTTTTTACTTGATCATATCAAGATAGAAATGTAGGTTAAGTTCGATTCTTATTATACATACCATGCATGAAGCATAGTTCACCTTATAATGTGAATCAAGTTAAATTCCATTTCCATTATCAACTTAAATATTTTTTACAAATAATTAATATATATATATATATATATATATATATATATATATATATATATATATATATATATATATATATATATATAGTTAAGTTCCTGTGAGAACGGAGTTTCCCGTTTCGGTGCGGTGTACACTATTAGGTATGCACAAATGCACCACACAGTGTTCAAAAATACATCATTATATGTGGTGCAATTTTTTTGGTGTGTGGTGCATTTTTTGGCATTTCATTCTATTGCATTTTCAAACACTGTGTGGTGTATTGTAGTCTTCATTTGAACTCAACCATATGTATATATATATATATATATATATATATATATATATATATATATATATATATATATAGAATTACAATCATATAGGAACCCATCTTTAGGTAGGAACCTAAGAACTAATCATAGCCATATATTTTATTTGATCAATGGTCCATATTTATTTTTAATTTTAAAGATTTTTTACCGCTATATTTGTTTTATTTTTGGTAATGGGGGTAGTTTAGACATTTTGAGAGTTGATCGCGTGGGCTTGTGCGAAGAAGTCGTATGGTTTTCCATTCCAAAAAACAGAACTCAAACCCTCTTTTGACGCCTATGCTATTCTCTCCGTTTCGCTGCTTTAGAGGTTGGAGATATGGCCGTCGACCTACCGCACCTCCTTCCGTCGCCTCCGCCACTGGAGAGAACCCACGTCATAAGATCAAAGTAAGAAAACTTAATTTGCATCAACCCTACAACTCAACAACCATTTAGCCCGAACAATCAAGTGAGTGAAATTTATTAACTTTTGCTGATTTTTCTTCTTCATGCATTCCAATTCTTGGTGTGTAGCCAAGCTGCTATTTTGGGTTTCTTTTTAATTTTTTTTTATTAAAAACATAACTAATCCTTAAACTGGAAGGATCTTGAATTGCTTTGAATTCTTTTGATGATATATTCTAGCCTGGGTTGCACTGCATATTATCTAGAAAGCTACTGTTGTGTATATATGCTTACAGAATGTTGGGAGTTGAACCGATTTTGGTATACCCTTGTGTGGACAAGTTTGAGACTTGGGTGTTTCTTGAAATGCTTAATTAACTAATTTTTATCCACTTCACTGCTATAAAGATTCGATTTTTATGGTATCCTCAATCTGATTATTGGTCTTGAGTTTTGGTTAGTGTTATATGCCCTGTATTTCCATATGTTCTTTGCAGGTTTACTGTAGTGAGAACTCAATTTTCAGATCGTGTGTATCACGAATATTTTGGTGTTCTTCTACGTTGTTTATTTATCAGTGGTATCTAATTTCCTCTGTTGTGTGCATTTTAGTTGGATTGTGTGTGCAGTTATGCTCTGTTTTTTCTTTCTTATTTTTATGGATTCCTGGGGTGTGGTGGGAGTACCATTTTTTTTTATGTTATTAGTTTTGATGCTTGATATTTTCATGTCTTTGAATCTGGAATTGTGTTTTCATTTTCATACACAAATTAATTATGCACGTTATGGCACACAGAGACTAACCTATATGCACACCCTAGTTTATCACATCAACCTGGTTTTTGTCTATTCCTTCAGACAGTATCGTTCAAATTATGGCACACACAATTCTACCTAAGTGCACACACAGTTGTTTTACGTCTGTTTATACACCTTTTTTTCCTTTATGTTTGATTTTGTTGGTCATTCGATTTCTAATATTTTCTATCGTTGTACGCCCTTTGTCAGAAAGATTTGATGTCTGTGTCCCTTGACGATGTGGTTGATGATCGGTGTGGGGCTGTCTTACGGAAGCTTATTCCTTGAAGGATGTAGATGCTTTGGCATGATGCACATAACAAAGTGGATTGTGGTGTTTTTGCGATGCGACACATGGAGACCTTCTTGGGGCAATCGGTAAATGAATGGGATTGTGATTTGCAAAAGGGTTATAGTAGGGGTCTTGATTGGTTGACGATGACTTATATACGTCAGATTTTGTCAGTTGAGTTTAACATTCACCATTCCAAGAATATACGTAGCGAAATTGAATAGCATGACGCGGTTGAACAATGCTAGTAATCTGTGTGCTCATTTGAACTAGTTTATCAGTATTTTTGTTTAGTTCATTTAGGTACATTTATGTATTTTATTTATGATGTTTGATATTTAATCCTCGGGTGTTTTATGCTTTTTTGTTCTTTTTTTTTTTTGTTGACATTTTGTTGCAATGTTGCACTCAGCGTTAAACACGTTTAGGGGGGTATTTGTGCATGCACACATTCGTTAACTCAAGTGCACATGGTATTTCAACTATTAGTTTTCTAGAGCATCATGGCACAAACTTGTTAACCCAAGTGCACACCAACTTGTTTTATGTCTTTTCTTCCTCACACTCATTATTTACGTTATTGCACATACAGTTCAACCCAAGTGCACACATACTTCTTTTACGTCTTTCCATACACACACTCATTCTGCACATTATGCCACACAATTTAACCCAAGTGCACACCGTAGTCGATAATTTCAAAATGGTTTTCGTGGATTCCTTCAATCAGTATTATTGCACTTTACGGCACGCACACTTCAACCCAAGTGCACACCAACCTCTTTTTCGTGAATTTATTTTCACAGGATTATTGCACATTTTGGCACAAATAATTCAACCCAAGTGCACATTGGCCAGGTTTAGGGGGTGTTGGTGCATGCACATTCGTATACGTCTACATACACACATTCTGTTCAGTGTATTATTGGGTATTTCATGTGGTTTTGTATGGCGTATTAATTGTTACTCGCTTTCTTATGTGCGCCATGTGAAATACAGTGTGTGGGACATCGTAATTGCACGTTATTTTGTATATCAGTTTTTTGAGCATTATGGCACACACTAGTTAACCCAAGTGCACAATGTAATCCACCATGTCATCGTGGTTTTTGTGTATTCATTCTGACAGTATTCTTGGGCAATATGACACACCCAGGACAACCAAGGTTCACACCTACTTGTTTTACATCTTTTCATACACACACTCATTCTCCACGTTATGACACGCTCTTTTAACAGACATGCACACCGTACTCTGTAACATTGACCTGGATTCTATCAATTCATTATGTCAGTATTTTTGCACATCGTGGCACACACACTTCAACCTTAGTGCACACCAACTTCTTTTACATTTTTTCTTTCACACACTGATCATTTAGCATATTATGGCACACAGTTTATGTTTTGATTTATGTTTTGGTATCCTGCAACATATTACCCATTATTGTTTAGGGATTGTAAGTAATACATTTACATTTATATTTACATATATACAAGTAGTAGATAGATTGCTTTGGAATTCAAGTTGATCACGCCATCCATGTCGATGTGTGTTTGGCATGGTTTCAATGAACGATATTGGGCATAAGTAGTAGATTCCCCTGGAACTACACTCATTTTGGTGCTGCTTATAGATATAAAGGCATATATGCATATAGACACGGTAGGCCAGTGTCGTTATCTTGTAACATTACAACCCCAGCTAGTATTATATTTCTTTAACTCCAAAGGAATCAAAGGCTTCATTGATTCTTCACACTATGGAGTCCAGTACTTCGTTGATTCCGGTGAAATATTCATCAAACACCCGGATGAACTCCCTAATGATCCGTCATGACTAGTGAAGCATTATACTCATTATTTACTCAGTATATGGTTAAGCTATGTGGCACAAACATTTGACCCAACGTGCACGCGCTCAGGGTTTCTATGGCATGTGTGGCACATTCATTACCCCATAAGTGCACACACGAAAATCCCGCCTACAGAGAATGGGATGTGTGCAAGGACACATCCATTCTCCGTAGACATGATTTTCGTGTGTGCACTTACTATAAGTTGAGTGTGCATACAATCCAGGTGGATGTGACAGGCGGAGATGTGCACTCGGATTTCGTAGAGTGTGCCATAATAACTAATAAGCAGAACAAGTGTGTATTTGACAAGACGGTAGACCCAGGTGTGTGCACTTAGATTGGGTTGCATGAGCCGTTCTGACCCCCAAAAAACTGGCACCATGAATTCACGAGAACCAAATGGATGTTTAATAGAGTGTACAAACCATTGCAGTTCATCATTCCCTAACAACTTAGAGAAGACACACAAAATAGCAACACTCTTCATGCAATTGTTTGTGTATACACAGCAGCATGATAGCAGCATATTTCATTTAATTCTAGGCTTCCACTTAATTAGATGTATTCAATTTAATCCCAAATTGAAGAACCCACAGCAACGACAGTCAAATATGGGGACAAATATTATTGTTACTTTCATTGTTTCCACTTGCGGTCCTTCAGCAGCAGTCGTCGATGATCGCTTTTCTTTGTCTCTCTCCGAAATCTAATGAACGGCGGACGATCGTACTTCACTCCCTACCGCAGATCAGTCGATCGTAGAATTATAGATCAATTGGACTCCTTTCATATATTGTTATCTTAAAATCTTGGAAATAATCAAAATATAATATTAGTTTATAATTGGTAGATGAATAAAATTACACTAATATCCTTTCTAATTAATTATGTTTAACATCCACATCAAAATGATTAATTATCTTGACCATTGATTGAGCATATTTGAATGGCTTGGATTAGTTCTTAGGTTCCTACCTAACAAAGGGTTCTTACTTGAAGCCTCCATATATATATATATATATATATATATATATATATATATATATAGGTTTCTAATCAGGTGTGAACAAAGTGTTAGGTGTGGTTGTGTGGTCTTATTTACACCGTTAGATCATTAGCACTGCACGGTTGGGATTGTAACTGTGCAATCCATTTTTTTACGGGATTTTCACGCTTGCTTAGGAAAGAAATTTTTTGTTCCGGGTTAATTGTGTAATATTATTCAATCAACGTTAATTGCAAAGATCCTCCATGGGCATTTTTATTTCAGACCACTGTCTACTGTACGGCAAATTATGCCCTGGAAACGTGTTCACCATGAAGGGTGAACACGGGTCCAAACGGCGCCGTTTTTACGTAAAAAAAAATATAAAAAAAAATCGCTAATGTGGTTTAACGGCGCGCGTTTGGTCAGATTATGAATTTTCTGTTATGAGATTATGAATGTACTGTAAATTCATAATCCCATAACAGAAAATTCATAATTGCATAAAAGAAAAACATTTATTAAATTATGAATTTTTTGTTATGAGATTATGAATTTACTATAAATTCATAATCTCATAACAGAAAATTCATAATCTCATAATAGAAAATTCATAATCTCATAACAGAAAATTCATAATCTCATAACAGAAAATTCATAATCTATGAATGTTGAAGAAGCTTGCGCTACAGAGGAGCAGCCACGGTTTCGGACGGGAATGTGTAGGCATGGTTCCAAAGTGAATGTGCAGGCATGGATTCATAATTTATGAATGTCTGAAATCATTGATCACCTCAAATTAAAGTAAATCCGCGAAATGTGAAAATGAAGAAGAAAAGTCACGCGATTAATTAAGGGAAAAAAAAGATAACGGTGCACTAACACCTTTGGGACGGTGTTCACCATGGATGGTGAACACGGTTCCATGGCATAACGATCCCTACTGTACATAAACCCTCGATGCCCGCGCTTTGCCCTCCGGTGGCTCCGACGGACGGTCTGCGAAAGCCAGTGTCGAGAAATCAATTCCGTCGTTGGTGTGGTATGAGTGGCATCTCCTGCGAGTCGAAGAATCCCCATCGAAGCCAACCCCAGCTGTGTGTGTCCCGGGTCTACCAGACGCAATGTCGGCCATCAACCGTAAGCAGACTCCGAGCACCCGAACCGCCGGCAGTTCCACTGTCCCAGGTATGTCGTCTCCCAAAATATTTTGACGCGTGTGTGCGACTCGGATTGGAGCAATCTGACTGTGAATGTCTTGCATGTGAAAGATGAATTAATTTGCTTAATAATGTAGTGAGAGATCAGTTTCTTAATTTCGGCACCACTTTATACTAAGTAAATTGGGATCAGATTACAAGGAGGTGTTTCTCTTGGAGGGTTCATGTGATCATGCTCTCATATATAAAGTGTTGATGACTAATCTATCTACCTACCTAGATAGATAAGTGATTGAGGGTTATTGAAAAACAATAAAAAAAAATAGAGAGTTTTTTTTTTTTTTATAAATATTTAAAACTTTTTGCTTTTGACATACTGCTACACACAGTTTTGCCGTGTATTCCTAGACTGCAACTCTGCATTGCCAACTCTCTGTGAATAGGATTGAGGTGTGTGTATAGTTAGTTGTGTAATCCTGGTTGCTTGTGCGTGTTACAAGTTGATTAAAGTTGAGTATCTCATCCTTTCCCGTTTGTTTGTTAAACCTCACACACATAGCATACTGTTCCTATCCCCTGCTGTTTTTACTGTTATTGGTTATAAACTCTCACATTTTCCCCTTTGGTTATTTTGTTATAGGGTCTAAACGGCTGCGCGACGGTGTTGCGGGTGATGAGTGCATTACTACACGCTCCGGACGTAGTGTACGCAATATAACAAGGACTACAGATGTTAATCCAGAGCGTCAGGCCGAGGGTAGGAGGGATAACGCTCCCGAACCTGAACTATCCCCGTTAGAGGAGTTTAAGTTCCCTTCATTCAACACCCGATGCCACATCGAAGGACCTAATTCATGCTTTTAACGAATTCAACGCTCAGCAAAGACATGCAGTAAACGACATGGGAATGGGAGCTATTTTCACGGCTGGGAATTAACAGATTTCCGACCACCCAAAAGTGGTCGGAAATAGCCTAAATTTGGTCGGAAACACTGTTTCCGACCACTTTTCCGATCAAATTGGGTATTCGGAAAAATCCCGTCGCTAATTCCGACCCTAGATAATGTGGTCGGTAATAGAGACCACTTTTATAAAATGGTGGGAACAAAACGACCAGCTGAACAATTGGACAAATTCCACATTTCCGACCACCGGTGGTCGAAAATATCCACCCGTTAAATATTATAGGCTAAAGTGTCCTTCCGCACCCTGAACCATTCCTGATTATTCATGCCGCACCATGATCTTTAATAAGTGATATTTAGAGCCATAAACAATTTTTTTTTCCGCCTAGCATTTTTGTAAGTTATCCGGTAATCTTGATGACATGGCACGGTAATAAGCTATTGTGCCATTTTTATTTTTTATTTAAAAAAAAAAAACTAAACGGTTAGTCGGTTACCCTGTTTCGGATTCTTGGCGTGCTTGGAGAAATTTCTTTACCCTATTTCGACACCAGTTTCATTCTCATCACCGACTATGATCCAGGTTGCGTCGCCGTCGATCTCCTGGAGGCTCCGTTCTCGAAAGCCATGGATGATGCCGAGGAAGCCATTTCGGTCCGCCACATCATGTCGGAGTGCATATGGAAGCTGCAGAGATGGGTGGGAGTTGGGAAGGAGAAGAAGCTCACCCAAGCCTCCAAAATCAGAGAGGAATTCATCAAAACCCTCATCCCCAAACACCAATCCCAAAAATGGAGAGTTTTCAAAGTAGAAGAGCTAAAGCCCCTGGTGTACCTACACGCCTCCATTTGCGAGTCTTTGAGGTTATACCCACCGTGTGCATTCCAGCACAAGGAGTCAGTTCAAACAGAGACTCAACCCAGCGGCCATTCCGTCCACCCCAAGATGAAAATAATGATCCCTTTGTACGCAATGGAGAGGATGGAGTCGATATGGGGAGAAGACGCGGCGGAGTTCAAGCCGGAGATATGGATATCGAAGAAGGGGACGGTGAAGTATGAGTCTTCCTACAAGTTCATGGCGTTCAATGCAGGCCTAGGACTCGCTTGGGTAAAGAAATTGCTTTCGAGACCTCACCTTCTCCCGCGTGCCAGCAGCTGAGCAGAGGCGTGACTCTTCTCCCGTCAGTGAGCAGCAGGCACAGCGGCGACTCATCTTTTCCGGCGCGTTCAGCACGGCAACCTCTGTATTTGGTCAGCAGCGTGTGAAGCAGAACAGCACTCCGCGACAGCAACGCCGGCGACCTCTGTACCGGCGAAGCAGTGCAGTGGCATCTCCTCTGGCGAGCAGAGCAATTCCAGCGGAGCTTGGTAGCCGGCGATCTCCCTCTCCCGGCGAGCTTTGCGACAGAACCTGGGGGAACGAAGAATCTGAATAGTATCGTTTAGTTTTTTTGTTTTTTTTTAAAAAAATTGCTTAAAAATAAGTACACATCAGCTTATTACCGGGCCATGTCATCAAGATTACTGAATAACCTAAAAAAATGCTAGATGAAAAAATAAAATTAGTTTATAGCTCTAAATATCACTTATTAAAGATCATGGTGCGGCATGAATAATGAGGAATGGTTCACGGGATACACTTTAGCCAATATTATAATGTGGCACTTTCCGACCATCAAAGGTGGTCAGAAATTAGTTAAGTAAAAAGAAAAAAAAAAAAAACATTTCATTGCTGTAAAACTTAATACAAATTATCCTCAAATAATTACTGCTCTTTAAATTTAATACGATAATTTTAACTTATTGTCAATTATATAATAGAAAGAAAGGACTCAAAGCCTAAAAATAACAAATGTCTAATTTTAGGGGGGTCGGTTCTGGCTATTTCTAAAGCCTTTTCATGACTGCTTTAGATGATTTGCAGACAACTGGAGTCGACTTCAAACTCGATTTCATCCTCAGCATCGGATACATTACACACAGCAACATCAAATCCATATAGCCAATTGCCTACAAAATATAAAGAGTTTTCTTTTCTTACAATTTGCTGTTGTACAAACAAATAAATCAAAATCTTTTATCTCTTTCAATCATACGATTCAACTACTATTGCAACAAGCAAGAATTAAATTAATGGTTTCTTAAATTTCAAAAGACGATCATGGGAAAAAAATACAAACAAACAGTAAACACTCATTATAAATCAGCGAGAACAATTCTAGATAGAACTCTTACTATTGTAGATAAGTATGACTCCAATTTTTGTAGATTTTGGTTAATAAAGTTGATAGCATCTTTGAACCTCACTATTTGTCCACCGAACAATGGCCAACAAACAAAACTAATATTAATAATAACATTCAAGGACAAATATGTCATTTCCTTCCCTTTCCCTCTTGGATGAATTCATTGAATTGCAATTCATAGGGGGGACCTATGAATTGCAATTCAATGAATTGAGGGAATTGCAATTCCCTCCAACCAAACAATGTAGTTTATCATTTCATTGAATTACAATTCAATTCCAATGCAATTCATGCCAACCAAACACCCCCTAGAATATAATTGTTTAAGTGTATAGTTTAATATCTAAAAGCATAATAAGTGTGAATGAAGGTTATACCCTTCATTTATGTTCGTTTTTTACGTTAACTTTTTTATATATATATTTTATTATCTTTTTCAATAATAATAATAATATATATAAATTATATATTGGAGTTGTATGTTAGTTATTTCCTACCATATAAATATCAAATGTATAAAAATGTTTTACATTATTATTATTATTATTATTATTATTATTATTATTATTATTATTTATAATAATTTAAATATAAAAAATTAATATAAAATACTAATATTGAGCACATATTTTTTGCGCATCGCGCATAAAAATACTAGTAGTTATATAAGAAAAATGTATACAAATTATGCAAATTAAAAATATTGACTAATTATAATTATAATAAAATATAATAGCACCAAGTTACTCCCTGTTAGAATTGTCTAAGACAAAAGAAAATATGATGGGATAATTGAATCAAGTTATTTTGATATGTACAATCATTGAAAAATCTGTTTACTACATTTATATCCTTTTAATTGCGAAATCGTTTTAAAATTGTTTAGGGCAAATGCAAAATCTATTTGTCAAGCAAATTTACAAATTACAATTGTATAGTTCATTAATATTATTGTGTGTGTAAATTACATTTCATGTATTTTATTTTACATTTTTATCAAATTTCAAGTATTTATAAATGTGTTTTTCAAAAAATTGTTATTATAATTATATACTAATATGATCAATGACATTTTTTTTCAAAATTTTAAATCGCTACAAAGACCTGGTGGTCAAACCGCAGCATATCTAGACAAATACTACATTGTAATAGAGTCAATAGTACTCAACAAAAATTTACATGTTTTTATTCAAATTTTATAATTTCTATAAAAATATTATAACATCAACTCTTTAAAATTTTTATTCTAACTTAACAAAAATTCGTACTATATTACTCACAATTACAATATCACCAGCAATTTATTAAATATGCTAGATAAAAGGTTTACAGTAATAATACATTTCTCTAGCATATTTAATAAATTATGGGTGATATAGTATAAACTTTTATTAAGTTATTGATAAAGTATATACGAATGCCTCTACGATCCCGTACGTATGTCTAGGGCTCGAGCTCAGGGTCAGTCAACAGTGGGTCGAACAGTTCCCGGTCAAGCTAAGAGTCAAAAGTCCTCCTCAGTTTCATAAATGCAGGTATTTATAGGGGTGAGGGGGCGAGATCCGGGGTCTCGACATGTCGATCGCGTGGCCGTCATGCACCCGCAAGCACTCTGCCCAAGGAGCGCCGCCACGTGGCGCGAGCCTTTTGCCACCACTTCTCAGGATTCCGTTCCCGACCGAGTCCGGTATCTAATGGAGGCCACATGCCCTATAGGTCCCAATCGACAAACCGTACGTACAGTGTGTAATAGTCTAGCAGTTATAATAATGAATGTTTGTATTATGTGATAAAAACATTAATACACGATGATATACAATTTATTACGTCAGTTTGATAGAAACAAAGTTATTGTGTCTTTGAAATTAAAGGGCAATCATGGCCACGGCGCGTAGGAGACATCATAGCAGCGTCAGAGATGGTTCACTCAGACGAAGCAATGACAAAGCCATCAAGAATGGACGCCATGACAAAACCTAGACTACTGATACCATATAAATGTATGTATTATGTGATAAAAATAATACACAATATAATGTTATACACATGGAAAGGGCAGCACAATCTTATTTTTGATAACAAGAATGGTGGGATGGTATCTACTAGTCAAAAAAGAGTATGAGTAAAAATAATCAATGATAAAAAAGATACCCAAAAAAAAGTGTGGAGGTTTTCCGACCACTATTATTTGCTGGTCGGTAATAACGACCACCGGAATCAAGAATAGTTTAAAAATTTTAAACTGCCGGGAAAATTTCCTGTGATAAAAATAATACACAATATAATGTTATACACATGGAAAGGGCAGCACAATCTTATTTTTGATAACAAGAATGGTGGGATGGTATCTACTAGTCAAAAAAGAGTATGAGTAAAAATAATCAATGATAAAAAAGATACCCAAAAAAAAGTGTGGAGGTTTTTCGACCACTATTATTTGCTGGTTGGCAATAACGACCACCGGAATCAAGAATAGTTTAAAAAATTTAAACTGCCGGAAAAATTTCCGACCACCTTTAGGGTGTGGTCGGTATTTCCGGCCACCATCTATAGGTGGTCGGAAATTCCGACCACTTTCTGACGACTCAAACTGTTCGTCAAAAAAAATGGAAAAAAATTAACTTTTGCGACCATGTTTTCGGGTGGTCGGAAATGTGGTCGGAAAACGCTATTTTCCAGCAGTGTTTGCGTTTAGAAGTTAATGAGATTCCATTGCGACTGGGCTGTTGGCTGGTCAGTGTGGTCAACCCCACCAACCTCACACTTAATGTCCAGCGCGAGACTGCTCTTCAGATCACTAAAATTGAACATATTACTACCTCTAGCAGCACTGCACGAGCATCATAAAAATAAAGATAGAACTGGACAGTTTGTTGTTACTGTTGTATATTTCATAACACCAATTGCTTACAATGGTGATACGTACTAATACACATATCTACTCCCCCCTTCACATATCCACTTTTTTTTCCAGAACTAGTGCAAAAAAAAAAAAAAAAAAAACGCTCACACATTCGTAAAAGTTATATTCAGATTTGCACGCCAAAAAACCACCACACTACTTACAGTGTTGCTATCCTACACCCCCCTAATCATATTGATATTAACCCACCGCATTCATCGGGGAAGAATTCAAATCCGAAATCGTAATCAAACAAATAAAAATGAAATTGAGTTCGGACTGAAATTTGGATACAACGTGTTGTAAAAGACAATTTGACTATGGATATATTATTATTCGTTAAGCAGCCGTGCACCATCATCTTCACAATATTTTTGCTGCTTAACAGTATACGCACAAGACCCCTAAAGAATGACTCCTTTAATCCCATGAAATGCTCATACGTATAAACACACAAGCCTAAACACTTTAGCACAGAGGTCTGTAAAAACTGCTTCGAAAGTGAATTCAACAGGAAATCCACACAATTGATTACCCCTTTGTACCCTTCCCCGTCCCTTGCCCCCACTAAACGCATAGTGGTGCTGTGCATACAGGTTCAACAACCCAAGTAAAAATATGAAACTGTAGGGGAAAGATGGCTAAATAACATTGCACGAGTACTAAGTAAAAAAAAAAGGGAATAACAAAGTAAAGAACAACAAACCAGTCCCCATTCGAGACCGGCGAATTACTATTAAGGAAACTAAAAGCACGGCTGGGAGACGCGAAGAGTGCACAGCAGTTCCGCAAGAGGGCAACGACGCATCCAATGCGAGCCGACTGCAGACGAAAAGCAAACACCGGCCAGAAACGCGGTCGGTGAGAAATTTAAAGGCGTCAATCCCCCGTGTTTAAAGGAAACGAATAAATACGGAAATAAATGAATAACGTAACAAGATTACCATACTACCCACCCTGGAAATGCAGTGCATAAGAAACGGCCGAAAGCACAGCAAATAATATTGATGTGCAACCAAAGAAGGCAAAAAATGCACAGTAACTCATAACCGTGAGGTCGTCTACAATCAATGGCCAGCAAGCAACCACACATTCACACCTAACAAATTATTCACACCTGATTAGAATTTTATATATATATATATATATATATATATATAGGGTCAGGTTCCTGTGTGGTCAGTGTAACATTTCCATTATGTCACCATTAAGTGGTGCAAGTTAATAGGCCATTTATGGCCATTATGTTGTGGTTTGAAACGGAAGTGACGGTTTCCGTTACTTAACCTATAATGATGGCACGTAGGTTATATACATGTTTGGTCCTCCCACTACTCCTGTGACATTATGACTACACCATCTAGTAGAATAGGAGACCAAGTGGTAGACAAAAGCAGAAATTTATTGTTCTTCAAGCAATCCAATGGAGGTATCAACTATGGCTGAAGGTATGTTTGATCCTATGCTTCCGCTATTGAGGTTAGATTATATGAAATATGTTTATTTCATTTGCGTATTTCTAACATTTGGTATCAGAGCATGTTTAATCTCTGCCTAGTTGTTTAAATTACTTGATAGATACATATTTTGAGTTATATATATGCAGTATATGTTTTTACTGTTTTTTCCTTGAAAATATGTATCAAGTGTGTATATCTATTGCTGTGAAATTTTTACAATATAGAAGTATATATGCATATATGTACTTTGTTATCCATGGTGTATATTTTATATATTTCTATATGAAATGGATATATGCATTTGGATGTTCGAATAAAGGAAAATCAACATAATCAAAAGTCCTCTATCACTGTTCGGATGGTTGTTGATGGAATTGTTGCCTTTTTTAAGTATATATATACATTTGTATATCTAAGTTTGCAATTCACTGTGTACATACTCATAAACATATAAATGATCATTGGCCATCCGTTTATCTTTGATATAAAATATTTAATGATGGCACGTAGTATAAAGTATTTAATTTGCAAATGCATATAAAATATTTATTACTATATAAATATACATGGGTTTGTTACTGTTGGTATATATTTTGTTCTTGCCTGGAATTGTTGTCTTTTTCCTTTTCTGGCGAGCTTTCACTGGAGGTAAGGAGCACTATGGAGTGGGTGCTGTCGGAAAACTGTGTCAGCAACATTGCAACTCCTATTTT